GACCAGACGCCCGGCGAGTACGCAGTTCTGGTTTGAACCCGGAGCATATAGCAACTCACGTAATATTATTATGTTGATTTCGGTGTTTGGATTTTAATACGCGTTTTATATAAAATTTACATCGTAATCGTGAATAAATAATTGCGAGACAGAGTTCTCTCGATATTTCATAGACGTGTATATAACGAAACAGCGTTTTGTAGAATGCAAATACCCATAACCGATAGAAATTCAGAGCGTCGTATTAAAATATCAAAATACTAATCCTCTTATAAATTATAACGACAACGTATCCGATTCATATAATTTGCACTCCTCGCAACAAGAAGGTTCGGAGATGTTAGTTATTATATTATAAATTTCTATACGCGTTACCGCGACGAAACTAGTCAACTATATGAAAAAGCGAAGTAATTTCCCGTAGGCAAATATAATACAAAGTTCAAGTAAGATGGGCGGGGTAGTGTTATACCGAAAACGGCAGTATTGTAAATATGTATATTTTTTTTGAATTTATGCTATTCACGAAACGGTTAAATAAATGGCCGGTCTTAACAGCCCAGCGTAGAAATTGGTTACGTTCCGAATGTCGATCGAAATAGTGTCTATTTAAAAATAGAATACCGATGTAAATTAATGGCTTTTTTTGTATTGCGTATCTTCATTCGTTCTTAAATAAAAATTCGTCCTATTTTTTTATATTATTGAAAATAATCCTCGAATGTCGGAGTAATTATTTTGACGCACGTCAAAACCCATGCCCAATCATTTTGAAAATAATATTGTACATACTCGTAATTCGATTTAGAGTTTTACAATTAATAATGCATACTAATTCGTTTAATCTAAGTGTACAAGTTCGTGATATATCACTATTAAAATAATATAAATCGGGCATTGTTATAATTGTTGTGTAATTAAATTAGTAATTTTTTTTTTTAAATGTTTAATAAATATATTGTATAAAACAATACGAATTTAAATAAGTATTTCCGTTTTATTAATCGTAGTTTATACTTACGGCTTTTGACAATATGCATACTTATTATTTGTTTTTACATCTGTTAATTTATTGTATAGGTAATTTGTTTTACACTCTCATGATTGCAAATTGGTTTTATTACACTAAACACTGTACGCGTTGTATCGACTCCATAAAAAATAACACGTTTAAACTTTCCATTACGGAGAGTGAAAATCGCTACGGGAATCTAATTTGTTTTTAATAATATTGTTAAATAAATGCTGAATACTAAATACTGTTGTCATATTTTTGTTAAATTATCGATTATTGGTAACGGACCGGTAATTACAACAATATTGTACATAGTATTATTGTTATGTTTTCGGATACACCGATAAAGTATTCTAACAGAAATATATTTAAAACACTTAGAGTACCCATATACAAGTTTTTATCGCACATTGTGATGCATAATATAATGTATACAAATAACTATTTCATACTATAAGGCACAATGGCGTGTGCACAATATGGGCAATATCTATAAACCTACTTAATAACACGAGTATAATGGTGTACGCCAATATTTTAAAAAAAATAAAAACTCACGAAAGTATAGGTTTTATATGTAACATCGACTTTGTACCCTAAATACGTAACCTATTGAATTTTTTTCTAACCGAACGGCGATAAATTATACGGATGAGAGTAAAAAATAAAAATATATATATATATAAATAAAACATAAACTATCCGTTAAACCCGTTTTTAAAGGAATTTATTTTATATATTTACTGTATAATATAACCGCATGGCGGGGTTCTAAAAAACCGCCAACATTCTACTCACACTGGTTTTATTAGTTGAATATTTATAGTTCAGCAGTTATAGACATAATATAATATCTACGTATTTAGATTACAGATTTGGACCGCAGTGGATTTTTCTGGATTTTTTGAGTTGTATATTATGTTCTTATTTTGAAATACTGTATATATATTGCCGAATTATCAATCTTGGCTGACTACATAAAAACTTTTCTCCGTATCAACTCCCGTCCCGATTGCCTTCTGTTGCAGTCTGACCTCGACCGGTTATTCGCTTGGCTTTTCCTTTAACAACCCTAAATACTCAGTGATGACATTTTCCTGATTCAAATCCTCTATCGTCTTTTCTTACTCAATTAATAATGATCTCATTCAATTCGCCGGCAACTCCGTTCGATACCTTGTATTCACATTCATCAAAAATCTTTGTCCTTTGTTGCATATTGAAGTGACTTGCTGCAGATCATTTAAGCTACTTGGCTTCGTCAGCCATATCTGCATTGACTTTCGCCTCCTTAATTCTGTCAAATCATATTATTCACATATTCGTTCAATCCTAAAGTACGGTTCAATTTTCTGTGACTCACAGTTGCTAGTAACATGATTTAGCGGGTCCAGAGGAAGTTCCTTCGGATGATCGCTTCCAGGTTAAACAACCCATACGCTTTCTTGACAATTATTCCCCTGTCCGTTGGCGAAAATTTTCTTTTTTCAAATTGACTCCTCTTTTTTAATTACTGAAATTAGTATTCGTATTTCTTTGCGCCACAGTTGGTCTTTTGTCTCTTTTCAGATCCCTCAACTTCCTTCTAATTTCTTTTTAAAGAACCACCACTTTCTTATTGAATTTTACTGTGCTATGTTATATTGTTAATTGAATTCCGTCCACTAATTTTTTTCTTCAATTAATTGATGAAAATGGCACAATACTAATAAGTATTTAATATTATCGTGTTACAAAAATATTATAAATGAAAAAATAAAAAAAACTTTTTGAATGGTTATTACTGTAAATATTAAAAAATACAACGTGAATGAGCGCGTTTTAATGGACACGACTTCATTTATTATAATACCTATACACACGTAGGCCTAAAGTGTTGTATTACTAAAAGAAATTTATAGATCGTTTTTCATTGTTTTTTTTAAATTTTTTATTTATTTGTTCGATTGTGGGCTAATTCAATATACATACCTACCTGTACTAGTATTCGATATATACGCATTTGTCACTTTAGTAACGCAAGTGTATACCTCGGGGGCACCAGAACTACTACGTATTTGAGTCGATAAAATAATGGAATATAAAACCACACCGAATATGTATTGATTTTACAATGATGTATGTATTGTCTGAACAACTCTTTAAACCTTGCTTCGATTTTTAACTGTAGGGAGTATGGTGTATGGTAGTCATTTTTGAATTTTTTTTTTTTGTATCGTGAAGTTGAGTGGTTTTCATAATAATTGGAGAAAACACGAATTCATGTCGCAATAATGGTTTCCGGTAGACATAAATTTTAGAGACTTGACACATTCATTGAATACTTATTTAACCCGTTTTTAGATGTGTTGAAATATTGTAAATATTCTGTCAATTTTTGAGCTATTTATAACCATTTGACATTTTTGTGTTTTTGTTAATTTTTATTTAGATGATATGGATAGAATACTGCTTTTGCCCCAAGCAAAATTCTCGGGATTTAACATGAATTTCATTATAAATTATAATGAGTGGTAAAAAAAAAAAAAAAAAAAATAGTAAATATACGAGCATTATGAAGTAATTTTTTGTTTATATGTTTTTAAAGTTTTAATGAAAATCGTAAAATTCATGGTATTTCAAAACGAATTTAACCAGATTTCGCTCAGAGTCGTTTTTCATTAGCAATGATAAGGTTTTCGTTGCATACACACATAATTTAAATTGTATGATGATGTAAAAACCACACGCAATGTACTGGTTTTTTTTTTCATATTGAAGTATTTACCTGTAATAATAAAATTCAGTACTTTCAGGAAAATAAATTACACGTGCTATATTTAATTCAATATTCGTCTCATTCTAGAATTTAAAAAGCGCCGTGGTTGTCAGGACAAAATACATTAAAAGAAAAAGTTTACTAGTTAAATTAACATCATAAAATATACGAGTAAATTATAATTTATTATACTTTCTTTGAAACTGATTTATTATAACGTCTTGACATGAATATTTTTAGATTCTGAGCGTAGGGAAAAATTGATTGGTTGTACTATGATGTGTGCTCTTTTTGTCTGTCTGTAAACAAATTGTCTACCAGAAACCTTTTTCCGATCAAAAAAAATGACTTTTAATGAATTTTTTTATGAATTTTGAATCTACTTAGTTTGCCGTTATTTCGTTTTCAAAGCGGTTTTCATTATAATAGGGACAAACCAGGGGAAAAAAAAACGTTTATGGGAAATTTTCGAACTTATAACGTGCGTTTAGAATTTTGATCATATTTTGTCGTATTTAAGTCTATTATTTTGTATGTTCCTCTAAATGCATTACACGAAATAAAACATATTCGACAATTCTTCACAATGAACGGAATATTTTGAAAGGGAATTTGTACTCTTCTCCAATTTGTCCAGCATCATCTCTCAACATCTCATAATTTTCCCCCAACATTCTTAAAGCATCACTACCATATTTTCGTCATTATTTTTACATTGACTTTAAGGCATACAAAAAATACAATACTTTATGTAATTTATATGTACTGTATACACTGGGTATAGTATTCCGTAATATCTTGATGTATTTATAATTTATAAATAACAATTACCAACTGGTTTATTTTACAATGAAAAACCACTGTTTGTAATAGAAATTAATAAATCTGTATACATAACGTAAACATCTCATTACGTTAATGCTATTTTGCTTACAAAACAAAAATATCCATACAAGTAGTGGCAGTGGGAATGATACTGTGATACTATATAATGTTACATTTTACAGTTCACATGCACTATGCATAATGCATATTGTAATATTATATTTTTTAAATAGCGTTATTATTGCTTACTGTACATATTTTGTATTAGATTATAACAAATAAATTTGTGAAAAAAAAACATCGTCATTTTTGTTTATTGAGAAAAAAAAAAACGTATTTTTATTAAACGTTCGTTTGTATAGCATTGTTATAATATCACATTTTTACAGTCTGTTCTGTGAACGCAACCGAACCTGTAGCCGCGCATCAGTCACCGAGTATTTATCCGAAGTTTTCATTTTTGTCCGAAAAAAACCACTATACACCATGCAATCTTCGGTAAGTAATAATATTAAAATCGTACATTATACGGCGTATTATTTTAGTCGATTTATACCGAAAAGTCCGACATAAATTTAGGAGTTAAATCTGACGAATTTAATTATTGAAAACGGATTATGTCTCCTTAGACTCTTTACCATAGTATATGTAATGAGAAAAACAATTACATTTTTTTAACGAAAATCGTAAACAAATTTCATTGTACTTTTAAAAACTATTTAAATATTAACTTTAAGTATTTTGTCTCTTATTTAAAATTAAAGTAATTAAAACTAAAAAAAAAAAAAAAAATAATAAACGTATTCTATTGAATCATAATACATTTTTAAAATTGAAATTCGCCAAACGAAATTTGTACAGTTTTGTTTTTAGATTTTTGGTTTAAATCGGCATATTCGTCCGTAAAAACGGTCATATTCTTTCTCTTATGTGGGTATCGATCGGTAAATTAACAGAAATTCTTTTTAATACAGCGATCGCTGAAATGTAAAAATAAATTTTAAATTTTAAATGATTGTTGAAAATTTGAAAAACCAATTCCATTAAATTTATTTACAGTGCTGTCCTAAACATATACACTAATAATAATTACGTACAAAATCCTACATTGTGTGCCTGAAAAATGAGAAAATTTGTAAAGTTTACTGTTTTATAATATATAATACAGTATAGAATATTGTATTATTGAAGGTAATCATAAAACGCATTTTGATGTAAACTAGCAATTTTTTTTTGACCGACCAATTAGAATAATATACAAAAGCCGTATATAAGTAGAATGCGTTATAATATCTGTTCTAATGATGATATAGTTGCGAATCCAAACTGCAGTGATTGTTATCTGGTGCTCTCCACTTTAGACATATAATATGTAACATATGTCCTGTCGTTCTCGTGAATATTTTCAAATTTCTATAGTAAAATACAATGGCTATTATCATTTTTTCATATCGGATTACAGTTCCGTGGTCTAGGGAATTCGTGAGTACCGAACAGAGCGCGTTATTGACCGACGACGATGACGACGACGGTTGTGTTAGTGTTACTTAAAATCGAGAGACATCGTCGTTCGTCCGTGTATCCGCTCGGGACACGCGCCCCGTGTCTGTTGTATACAGCCAAACTTGCACCAGGTATAGTTATAAAACTGTCCGAAAAAAAAAAAAATTACATCCCCTTCCGGTCAACGAACAATTATTGTCACCGTAATCCGTATCGTTGCACGAAAATGTCCGTCCGACGCGCGTGCCATCAATTTACCTTATATTATACAGGGCGTTTCTGAAACGAATGGTGAAGCACTATATACCTACCTATTATTTTAAATGCGTACTGTCGGACCGGTGTCCGAATCACAATATTTTTGGTAGTTTTTTCCTCGTTTTTACCTCCGAAAACTGGATTTAAACATTTTCCTACTCTTAGAATATTCTTGCAAGTTCAAAAAAAAAAAAAAAAAATATTCCGTGATATTTCTTGCAAGAATTTCATATTACACAAATCGATACACCATCTTTGAACATTATCGTTAGATTTCGTCGTAAAAATAACGCTTTATGTCGCCAGAATAAAAATAAAAGCGATGTGACGAATTTATTCGCAAGATGATTTTACAGAAAACATCATAAATTGTTTGTCGTTGAATTTAATTTGCAAATAAAGTGTATTATTTTCGTTACCTTGATAATTTTACTGCGTATTTATATTAGATATCAATACAAAAATTCTACCACGTAATTCCCAGAAAAATGATCTTACAAGCCGTTGTCACATCACTGTTTTTAAAAAGTGTTTATGAGCTTTACAACCGCGTGAAAATAAATGTGCAAAGATTTTGTGATATATCAATTTGTTTGAGTTCTTTCCCGGAAATACTACTGGAATATTTTATCTTAAAACTCAAAATATTCTAAGAGTTAAAAAAATAAAAATCTTTAAAATCCCAATACTTTTCTCACTTCGCTTAGGTTCTGAAATACAAATTTCGGAGATAGAAAACAAATTTTAAAAAATACCTTCATTCGGATACTCCACCTATTTGCTATAATCTCATCATTAATTTCTAAAACATTCAACAACATTGTATAATAATATATTTGTTTCAGTAAAAACCCAAAATAAACTTGAACTATTGAATTTACTATATTCTGAGTAGTTTTTACTGAAGGACATAGGCACTGTTATGAACTGTATTTTTTCATTCTACAGTCAACAATATTCAAACGTACATTATTATAATACATAATTAATCATCTAAAATCAAAACAGATTTTCTTAAATGTATTCTAGTCGTTTATAAAATATGTATTACTTTTGCGTGCACGTATTCAGGACCAATTTTCTGGGGGAGGGGGAGGTTAAAATATTTTTAATTCACGAACTTGTAATTAGTCTTTGTTATCTTATAAATATATACCTACTTTGGAAATTTCGTTAGAGTGGGGTGTTGAACTCCTAATCCCCTAACCGTTCCCGACCCGCGGTATACGGACTTGTACTGTTGTATTGAAGGTTTTATTGGGAACAGAGCCAGGGAGACAACGCAATCTTATTGAAAATAAGAAAAAATACGTCGTGATTTAATTATAAAATATTGTTTGTTTATGTTTTTGTCAAATTATAGACACTATTATGAAATGGAAATAAATTAAATATATATTGTTGATTTTTGTACGGGAGGGGGGATCATATGGAGTGTAATACACCCGGTCCATAGATAAAAGACTGCAACCGTGTAGCATGCGCAACAGGCGAATAAAGTGTTAATATTATTTATAGTCATACACTGTATATTGTACAATATAGCTGTTCTATCACACAGAACCGGCTTGGAAAATATCGATGTTCTGTGCAGTCATTTTCGCGGGGCCTTAATAAACTTTTTTTTTTTTTGCTTTTTCGCCTTCTAAAACCAAGTGTAGGTAAATTTGTATAGTATAATTCTTCTTAGTTCCTTCATATTTTAGTTTGCGTTTTCCTAATAATAATCGAGTGAAATAACCATCTAACAGCGCAAGTGCACAGCTTGCACAGCCCCCAAACCGGCCCTGTTTCCGTGCCGTGTCATATTTTAAGCAGTCTCGCAGTTTTACTGACGCGCGACGTAATAAATTTTCGCTCAGCAGGGACAACTCTGTGCTGTTTTGATATTGGAGTGGTTCGGCCTATTAGAAAACTTAAAGACAAGAACATTATCCGTGTTATGTCGCCGTTTCAACGTTTCGGTTTTTAAACGAGACACGGGCGTGTAAAATATCACGACTTAAAAAACGCTTTTATTTCGCTTAAAAATTTAAACCCAACCGGCGACACGACATAGACAATGTTGTTATCTGTAATCGTGAAAATAAGTAGATTTTCCGTGATATTAATAAAGTTAACAGCACAGAGTCGGTTCTACTAGAACGGACATTTGCTATACCGTGGTATCGTAAGACAGAGACAGCGCATCTGGGCATACGTCCTTTTAATGCGTACACATATTTTACACACACATACACGCATAGACGCACCGCGCACATAAAATAGTACGATTAGCTCAGACGCTCGGCGGCTGGCCGGTAATCATTCTAAACTTTGGGAGCAATGTGTTAACGGAGTGTAGGCGTTCGGTGTGGTTTGACTAATATGCTTTTATTTTAGTTATTTACATTTGTATGCGATTTTTACTAGAAACACAACGCAAGTCGGTATAGAGTCCAACGATTGTTATTTGTTATCGTATCGTATGCATTTGCGTACATTTTTTTTTTCAAATTTACTTGTATAGCGATCATTTTTATTTCACGCGTATTTCTAAATATTCAAGTTTTTGTAACTCAATGTCAGCTGTGTGTGTCTCAGTTTTATGTAAGATATAGATGTATATATGGTAGTGAAAAGTAATGTAAAATCGTAACATAATAGTTTCTGTTAGTTACGAGATATAGTGAAGCAGTTTTTCGGCAGCTTTTAAAAGAAAAATGGTATTGGTGACTGGGGGTTCATGCAAATATATCTGGACGGGTACTAAGTGATTGCTTCCAAAAAAATATTATACTGAAACTGTTGTTATATTTCCATATCGAAATCTAAATTCGGATCTTATTTCAAAAAAAAAAAAAAAAGTAGCCGTCAAAATTTGAGTGCTTTAATTTTTAAATTATATAAAATGCAGATAACAGATAGTGTCTCGCGAATATTTTATATCATTTCTGATTGATGGCGTATTTTAGTCGTAGTAGAGTTTAAATATTACTCCCGCCACGTTTAAACGGTATTTACTTTTTTTTTTTTTTTTTTACGGTATTAAAAAAGAAAAATGAAAAAAAAACGCGAGTGCGGAAACTTCCAGAAAGTGCCCTTTTAAAAGGCATACGCTTCATTATTGTAGGCGCTTTTACACACAATTTTACTCGAAACCGAAGTTATAACCTTTCATTTAAAATGTTCAAGAACAATAATGATTATGTACATGCGCGTAATGATATCATACGGGTTCGTTTAGCCTTTGATATTATTATTAGCAAACAAATATATATATTATAAACTGGCAAAACACTGTAAGACACGTGAAAGTTTACGAAAACGCGTTTAATAACAGCGTGCCTAGTCATCTTCCGCGATTACATACGTAATGTAGTTTACTGGCAAAAAGTCGAATGCAAAGTGCATATTATATTGACAGGGAAAAAAAAAAATTAATTTTCCTCTTGAGTTCTTCTAGAAGTTCCATACATGTCGTAAATTAGTTATACGTTATAATATAATTATTCGCGTCCGGAATAACGACACGTTGCAAAATGATATCGGATGTTTTTAACGCGTACAGATATTATTTAAAATGTTTGCAATTATTTCAATACAAACAAAAATCGGTCACAATATTTGCGTTTATGTATATTTAAAGAATTAAACTCGAACCGAAGTGAAAACGAAACACAATGGATGGACATACTTCGCATTACTGATGTGACACTACAGTTCGCAGGTGGCAAGTTGGGAAGGTAGGATATATTATGGGGTTATATCATTGATGTTTGTACGCGACAACAGATTATAGCTGACCAAAAGCGGTTTTAAATGTTTGGCTATACGTGTTTATTAAAACTTAAAATGAAAATTGAAATAATTAGTACTTACATGTTCACAAATAGAAAATAAATTAATGTTGTCCAAAATGTTTACCGACATTTTCGGAGTTATAAAAGTTAGCCATAAAAACTGGATAATAGTTTGCGAAATTTTCGATTTCATTCACATTTATAACTTTAAACTCTTATAAAAGAAAAAACAAAATGAAGGCTACAGATTTTTGATATATTTATATTTCCATAACAACAATTTATCCTGAACCTTGTAATGTTCGTTGGTAATGTAAAAATCGAATGTTTGTGCATTTATATAAAACCCACAGTATACTATTCACATAAGACCAAACGAAAGCTAAAAAAACTAGCTATATAATCTAAAAATAACTCAAAAAACGTCAGAATTTTATTCTGAATTGTACAACGGCTAGAAAGAGCTCATATCAGTATTCGGTAAAAAATGTCAGGTTACAACGATTATTTTTAATCAAATCGCAACACAAAAAATAAAATCGAAAATAACCGTATTTGACGGTTTTCCAATTATTAATTTATGTATTATGAATACAAAAATAGAAAATTTAAAAATAACACTAATAAACAAAATTGTCCAAAAGAAACCACCTTTAAAGTGGATATACAGAGTGATCAATTTATTGTTATTTATCATCTCAGAAGTATTAACTTTTTTCGGAATTTAATTTATAGAACATTTATGAAACAAGCAGTACTACAATTTTACTTTGGTGTTAGTTTATGTCACCCTTATTTTCGAGGGTAAACAACTATCTAATTTTGATTTTCAAATAGTGATCTATATTAATAATTCCATAAATAGATAGAATCATAGTTAAACGAGATTTTGGTGTTGACGTTTTTGATTTCAGTCAATCCGTTGATGAGATATTCCAGTTTTAAGTTAAAGTTGTGGGAGAGCATCAGTTGTGTGACGGCACGGTGAGCGGCGTTTTAATAATACACTAAATACTCTTCCCCGAGATTACCTTAAAAGTGTAATGTCTTGTCAACGGTTTTATCGAAATGTAAAATTGTTGAGCTGTTTGTTACTTAAATATTCTTTATAACAAATTCCCAAAAAAGTAAATACTTTCCGAGATAATGAGTGTTTTACGATTGATTGATCACTTTGTATATTCTACCTTCCCAACTTCCCACCAAAAACGGCGGAACATTATTTACCCTCAGCTTTAGGTTTTTTTTTTCATTCTCGAATATTTACATAATTTTAATTTTTTTAATAAATCGAGATTTTTATTATATTTAAATTTATAATTTTATTTGGATTTAAACAAATAAATGCGTGCGATAGGTTACGCGATATATCACACATATACAAACGGACAGAAACTTCAAAACTTCCTTTTATTAATATTAAATATATTAAATATATTATGTTGGAAAACTTCGATTAAATATTATCTAATGGAAATATTTATGTCGATATTGAAGGAAAAAATTGTACCTACTACTTTCTAATATACTTTTTTTTTTTTTTTTTTGACGTGTGCAATTTTATATTAAAATGACTCCAGCAGGTCAAAATCAATTTCTGAGGTGTATTATAACGACAATCGTGGTTCGAAATCGAAAAATGCGTGTGACGTTCAAATATCGAATGGATTTGTCAACGCGTATTTTTTTATTGTTGTTGGTCGATTACTTGGTCCCTAACCGCGTGGATTAGTCACGTGGACGTGTAAATAAAGCCACTCAAGTCGATGGTATAAAATTAAAAATTAAAAGTTCCCGAACCGCGTAGCGCTCGTTCTCGCTTTCAAAGTAAATATATAATACTGTTAGGGAAAAAAAGAGACTATTTCATTCAGAAATCGCGGAGAGACTTTAAAACTTTGACAAAAGAAAACGGAAGACGAATTATTATTTCTCGTGGATGCTCGTGGACTTGCAGATGCTGCTCAAATATCTGATATTTGAATTTATTTTTATTTCACGTTGACAATGTTGTTTTGGAACTAACGAGTCAATAAAAATAAAAAAATAAAAAAACCAAGACTGTTGCACATACAGGGTGATATTTAAAAACCGTGTTTATTGATTTGAATGATTTAATGATGGATTTGTATCGAATTCTATTTTTATAGTATTTCCAGTTTACTGAGATACATATCATTATTTCAGCGTTACCTTATATAGTAGTATCAATGTTTTACTTTTGAATGAGGTCATTACATTATTCCTATGCTTTTTACTAACTGTGCAGTTATATTTTTATTTTTTGAAATGTTTAGTATATTGAAGCTTGAAAAAAAAAAAACTTTAGGAAACACCTGCAAACATCAACTTACCGATGAAATGTTTTCATTGTGCAATTTTTAAGTCACCTATTATATTCAATTTCCGATGTGTGTTAAAATGTATAGACACATAAATGCGACTTTTCTTCGGAGACTTAAATCTTAACTTATAAAGATAAAAAAAAAGAGCTGATACTGGGTATGGAAGCGGCCACTGTTGTAGGTTAGAAGTTGAGAAGATAGGATACATAAGAATATTACATTTATATCTGTAATAAATGATAAACCATTGCTTGACGAAAGAAAATTCTGAGCTCAGTTCGGTAATACATAATTTTGAAGTGCCGTATTTTTTTTGCGAATTCGTTTAAATTAATTTAATCTCAAAACGCTTATTAAAAAAAAAGTCGTTCGATGTTTTTGAAAATTTTACTACATCTGGGTAAGTCCAATATATAAGTGTTATATATTACCAAGTTTCAAGTCTCTACCTATATTTATAATTGAATTACATCAAAATAACTCCTAAATTTAAAATTCCTCAAAAGCTCAAAAGTGGCTCAAAAGTTTTGTCAATGATACCGGAAGAAAGTAAATCAAAAAAGTAACAAAAAAGATATCTTGTGATTTTTCCATTAAATTTATTAAATATTAATTTTTCATTTTTACTGGTAGAAAACGTCGTCCGTGTTTTTGTAAAATAAAGAAATTGTGAAATTGTACGTTTTCTTACGTTTTTTTCCCACTTAAGTGCTTTTATTTAAAAAATGCCGTCAAAAATCAAAAAATGACTCAGAGTACCATTTAGACACCTTGAGCTTTCAGAAAAGTTACTTAACATATAAATCGGAGCAAGTTTACTAGGAAAAAGCGTGTCCACACACTAGTACAAAGAACAAAGAAGAAATAAACAGCATTGTTAAACCAATAGCTTCTTCATTACGTTCGGTATCTAAAATTATAATAATAGCACGTCAAAATAATAAAAAGAAAGGCAAACAATTATTACTTTCTTACATGTTTGTTTCAAATATTATCACAGTTAAATTACAGCTATTATAAATCTGAAATTATTATCGTCCCCGGAAGAATAAAATACAGGATATTTCTGCAGCTGTTTTTATTCTTTTGCAGGGTTACAGGACACAGTGAATCGGTTAAGATAAAGGTTATAAATAAAGGACGGGCCTTTTGGAATACAGGACGTCCGAGCTCGATATATTATTGGTGTCGTTAGTAAAAAGGCTAAATACCTATTCGTCGGCATTTGCGCATTTTAAACGAATTAATGTCCGGCCGAAATCGTCGGGAAACGTACGGTTAAAACACGGATACGGCGGCGGGTGGACGGAAAATTAATCACGTGTCCTGATCTCTGCGCCGTACGTGACTGGACGGATCACAAACTTTTGACAATAATAATTTTCATCAACCGTTGTAAATTTATTATATTTTCAGTCGACCGCACGGCCAAAGTGAACCGCAACAATGTAAGTATAACAAGTTGTTTGCCAAATACCGCGCCGCGAATCGGTGACAATATAATGATGGCATAAAACCAGCGTTATCATAATCATTCAATACACCGACTGTAATTATCTGTTAAACAATATCGGCTATTATATATACACACCAATACGTTTTTGATAACAATGCTACGAGTACGGTCAAAAATTAATTTAACCGACACGGACAGCACGTGTTCGCCACTCACCTACCCGTCCGTTCAATAACGCGGTTTTTAACAAAATTTTAAATACAACACATATATTCCTACGCGGCAACAACGAGAAATACGAAAAGTTTTTATTTGAAGTCCATTCAAAACTATCAGTATCCCCTAGCCCTTTCCGAAAATCCCGTTTCATTCCGAGGTCACCGGACGGACATGTTTCGTGTTACATTTAAAAGAAAACACACCGCGCGTATGTAATGTATATATTTATATGTCTACTTTCTACGGGCCATGCAGGCTGTTCGCCGCTTCGACCGAATCCTTTAATCTCGGTTATCGTTAATTCCCTATCATTTCCTATTTCCTAGTCTTTCCAACTCGATCTAGCCAACGTACACCGTGGCCTTCCACGCGAACGTGTTTTATTTGGGTCGCTAACCGTGCAGGTTGTTTTATTAAATTTCCCTTGGCTCGTCAGATATGCCCCGCCCGTGCTAATCTCCCGAGCACAACACGTTTTCGAATATTTCCTTTCATATTGTCCTGTTTTCGTGTCGTTTATATGCAATTATAATGTAAGCAAATTTTCATTCTGTACAATTTATTTATCACGTGGTACACACATTAAATTTCAATGGTCGGCCGTACGACTGAACAATAAAATATAACGATTCGTTTTAATGAACGTATGCATCTTTTATTTACTTATGAAATTCTCGAAAAAAAGTTACCTAATTCAAAATCCCTAATGTACGAGTAGGTACTTATTAATTATTTTACAACCATATTACTGCCACCACTATTATAACCGGGTACTCATACTTTTTGCTGATTATGACCGTAATTAAAGCAAATTAATATATTCACTACGACTTGTGCGCGTGTGTGTGCATAAATATATATATATATTTGAGTAGTTTTACATGTGACTAAATTCAAGTACCGATGTAATTTATCGATATCAATTAATATAGAGGTACTCGTGGTTATACGTAAATAAAACATACTCAGTACACACACACACACACGCGCATTTTATTATAATAAATGTGTATATATTATATTGTATTATGTGTTATTCCCAAAATCGTTTTGAAATTGAATTATTAAAATCGGTTAACGATAATATTATGGTTTGATTCCAAAAAAATGTTTATAAACAAATTCACCAAAAAAAATAATAGTGGGGGTACGGTATTTTTAAATAAATATACCCGGCAGTTACAATTGTATTTTAGATTCTGATCGGATCGTGTGTTTACTACGACCGGGTTTAGCGTATGCATGCTTTTTCGAAATTAGTTTTGTCTTTTTTCGCTTGGTAAGTTAAATCGTTCCGGTATTTCACGTTGCGATATTCACTATATTCACGGCAAATAGGAAATTCAACGGCAATTCAAAAGATAATTTTTTGCATTCCCTAGTGAAATACAAAAAAAAAACTTTTCTCTTGACTGCGAAGCAACACAAAAACGTACGCGTTTAAATAATAACAATTGTTAACGTCACTCAGAACTGTGTTTCGAGTACGATAAGTTTCGCGTTAAAATTAAAAATATACCTACCTACCTAATACCTACTGTTATATAACAATAATGATTCTCTGTGTCAAGACACGAACGAAGTGATGAAAAGAGTGCCAAACAATGAAATAACTTCCCATTTATTTCTTCTTCAAATATTATGACGCATGAATAGTGAAGTCCAAAAAGTGTCAATAACTACATTATTTTTCGTTCTTTTAAAAAATGTATCGTCAAAAACTTTCCGACTTTGCGTGTATGTGTAGGTATAGTGACGGTTCAACAAATAGGGTCTCGAAGGTCATTTTCTGTGAAAGGACACACATACTGACGCGCACACAAACACATGTACACAAAATGGAAAAAAAAGCCAACTCAGGTAAATCCTCTTATATAGAATGTTTAGCAGCAATATATTATGCGAAATAAAATATTTAAGGGGAAAAAAATGAAATGAATAAACGTATACGCGGCTCCAACAGAAAGCTGTCGACGCAAATGACCGGCATTTATTAAAACACAGAAAGACGAGACCGAGAGAGAATGAAAACGCTTGACGAATAAATTACCTCACGAATCCAATGAATGTTGTGGATGAGAAAAAAACGAATAATAATATTTTATACTCATTGAAACGATTATCGTAAACTCGCCCGCGTTAAGTCCAATTATTATTATCGAGGACGATTGGAACAAGCGCTTCGCTACGCTATGTGTTGTTATCGGTTCGAAATTATCCGAAGAATTACCAAAATCTACTCTTAAAAACCACTAGTACATTTCCGGGCGTTTTTAACATTATCACTGCGCTCTCCGTACACTATACTGATCATGGCTGGGTCACTGATATTTTTCGGTTACAAATCGATACGATTTTTGATTCGAGTTTATCGAAACTCGCTGAACCTTTACGTTATTGGTTCCATATAATGGGTCGTAATACTTATTGGCCGCGGACACTAATCCATTTTAAACAATGCTCTCGCACGCTACTGCACCGGCTCACCAGCAGCAGAATGGTTTTTTCGGTTATTTTATTTTTGTCCACGACGAAATTCTTTTGTGAAAATCGGACCGGCTGACCGCGGTTATCGCACCGCGGCGAACGGGTAACGTCGACGGGAGTGGTATTCCGGGTCGACCGCCTCTACCGCGACGTGACGACGGGCTATCAATTCGCTCTCAGCGCCGCGGAAAACCATGTGGTAGCCGATCCCGTCGGATTAATGGCGCCCCAGAGTTTATTTAAAATTGTACGTCATCGGCTACTGGACGGTGGTTAGGAAGTTTTCCCGCTCACAACAGTTTGTACAGTGATCGCCCGTAACGTAAGACACCATCATTATCTCGGAAAGCGTTAACAGTTTTCGCGTTTCGTTTTATAGAAACCTTAGTAGAAACAAGTAGCTCTAAAATGTCAAATTACCGTTATTTTCGTTACTCTTATTTTTCGAGCGTGAAACCACTGTACCGACTTTTGATTTTTGAATAGAAAATTATACTAAATTCCGAAAATAGATAAAGATTTAGTGTAAATGTACATTTTGCCGTTGACGTTTTTAATTTCCGTTAATCTTAGGAAAATATATTCTATATTTATGCGTGTCGTTTTGCGGCGTGACGTTTGAATAGTGCTCCACTGCCCTTTTACCCAAAAAACATTAAACTTAAAAGTGAAATACCTCTTAAAAATAGGTTGATGAAATTTAAAAAATGTCAAAAACGAAATTTATTTAAACCATAACTTTATTTATTTATGGAATTTTTGATACAGGTTGCTACTTGAGAAACAATAATTGTGTAGTGGTTTCACCCTTAAAAATTCTGGTGACAAAAAACATGTTAAGTACAATTTTAGTGCTGCTCATTTCTCACATTTTGTAAAAATCAAAGTCCCATAAAAATTAAAATTTTCCGAGGTAATGCGTGTGTCTTACGATAAGTTGATCACTCCGTATGTATGAGCACGCTCTACTAAAACAAAATGGAAATTAAAATGGACGTTTTTCGTGTAGGTGATTTTAAAAAAAAAATTAAAATTTATCAATTCCGATATTTTCGAATTTGAAAATTTTAAAAAATATAACTTTTATCATTTATACATTTATTTTTTGATTATTTAGATTTGAGTGTTTACATAATTTTTCTTTTGTTTTTCCTCGGAAAACGCTTGTTTTAAAAATAATTCTTCGAATTGAACATATCGTATCCGCATCGCTTAAGATGCGGATTTATTTCTCGATGATGGTACTCTATGTTTGAAACAATTTTCGTATGGATTTTCAAAAGTTTTTCGTAAAAGTCACAAATACTGACAACAAATGACGATGATACATATCGGTTTCAGATTTATTGATTTCTGGGTGGTCTACTAGGGGAAAAACACCGCTTAGACCATGGCCTTATCATTTTACCGTGGTCTGCTCAGGATCGTTTTTCGATTGAAACGTTTTAACGTTGATTTCAGTATATAAACTAAAATTAATCTAACGTCCCTTGTTAATCAACCTGTAACCTTTCCGAGTATCCAACAATAACGTATAGGCCTGGCCATTTTTTTTTTACGCAGTACATACGGCTTTTTAAAATTCACTTTTCGATTAAGTAATACATTTTAAACGTTGTAATAATTTGTTGAAATGATAATTTACACGTAAGGTCTATAATTATTAAACTAATTTTGATTTGTTTTCACGATATTGGGTGTCTAATAACATTTCTACATAAATTATTTGGTAACACTCCTAATATTTATACGAATATATTATGTATGTTATTTAAAACTGAAGTTGGAGTAATATATTATTATCTCACATTTTATAAGTACAAAAGTAGAAAGCCGTACGATAATCTCATTGTCGGTAAAAGTTTTTGATTGTACGGATGATTTAGTTTTCCCGTCGATATAACTTTTTACTATTTCACGCATCGGACGTTAAATTTTAGATGACGGTAATAATTTTCGTTCGGGTTTTTTTCTAACCAATTGCAAATGAAGTAATCGACGTCATAATGATATAATAAACGATCATAATCGACTCATGTATGAGTCAAATCGTAGCTGGGCAAATAATGTTTTGAATATCCTTGTAGTTTCTTAATAACTATAGGAAGGAAAAAAATAAAAAAAAAATAGGAACATAATTTACGAGTTTTTATTAAGTTTCATGTGAACAATATCGTTTTAGGCCGGCACTGATGATCGAAAATTTAACATGAAATTCACCAAGTTGAACTTAAAGTTTTTAAAAGCGTTTGATGTTCAAATTTCCTCAAAAATTGAGAAAAAATACTGCGCTTTAAAAAAATGAATATTCATTTTTTGTGGAAATAAAATCTCGTTCACGTAATTTGTTTTTCGGGGTGAAATAATTATAAAAAAAAAAAAAATAATAATAATACTTCAATAAATGTTAAAATGTGAATTCGGTTAATTGTATGATGTGTATATAGTTATTATTAATATACGTATAGTATAATCTGCATGAAATAAAAATAAATCGACTACGCGTATGTATTGTTATTATTATTATTACGCCACGCCGTATTGTATCCTTTTAATCGAATAATGTTTTTTTTTTTTAAATTTATAGTTGTGATAAAATACTAAAATTAAAAAAAACAAAAATAAAATCGTAATAATAATAATGTGTATATACGCACGTCTCGAAAATCGCGAACGTCACGTTGATGTTCATTAGCTATAATATATCTGAGGCGAAAGGAGCCGAGCGCATGGATATTTTGAATGGAGAAAAAACGACGGACTGGGACGCGAAGGTTATATTTTATTAATGCCGAGGGACAAGCCCGAAATGCACGTGTGTCCGCGTAGCAAAGTTGAATATATTTACACGCGAAATGAGCAGTCCGAGTTGGCGGCGGTGCGCATAACACGGCGGGGAAATATTCGCGCGAGTAGTAATTATTTCGTGTAGGGGATAAGGAAAAGTGGGCGAGACGGAGATCGATTTCAGAACGGTGAAGGAGAATAAATTTCGCCGAAAATGGGATCGTGGTTTTCGAAACGGTGCCGTGCGTCTATAAAAAAGTGGTTTTTTTTTTTTCGAGTGGTGCAAAAAAGTAATTATAAAATTAAACGTTCGCCGACGCTCATTCAACCGAATATATTTTATTGATGGTCGCGAAATTACGATTTTTCAGCCCGGCGATATCCACTTCGACAACAATATTGCTGATATTATGGATACGCGCGATAATATATTTTGACGTTGGATTCCGTGCGTTTTACGTGATGTTTTAACGCGCTAAATTACCCGTATTTTGTTTTTTCTGTAAAATTTGATGTAGATGCTTGTTATAATAATGTAATTATTGTAATTAATTTTTGGAGACACGAGGTGCCGTCGACGACGGTATTGAGTTAAAATCGTAAATCGTCCCGCATAAACGTTTTGACAACATGTGTGAGAAAAACACGAATCGAATAAGAACGTAATGGGAACGGGATTTGGAATCCCGGAAAATAACAATTTCGAGTAGTCCGATGATTACTTTTTTTTCCCACACAATAGGGAAATATATTTATTTTTTTTTGAAAAAATTGTACAGGCTGTATATTGTATACCTAAATAATATTGTTGACTTTATTATAATAAACAGAAAAAAAAAATATATTATTAAAAATTGAAAAGACCGCATTGGAACAACGGTTATATGAATGCGATTTTTTTTTTTTTTTTTTTTTATAGTCTCATTTATATATTTTTTTTTTTTTTTAATTAAAAACGAATATTTTGAAAATGCTATATAGCTTTGCGGAAACGCAGAAGGTTCAATATTTCGCCCTTAAACATAATAATAATAATAATAAAAAAAAAAAACTAGCGGTTCATGCGAATAAATTATTTACAACAACATCATAATCGAGAAGACCCCCCCCCAAATGCGAGGGGTTTCGAATAATAAAATATTTAATAGTTTTATTACTATTGGATATCCGGCGCGACGCAGCTGAATATTACGTTGTATTATAATTTATAGGCCAGAACATAAACACGCGAGGTAGAAATAAATTTTGAAACTATAATATTGAATACCTACACACTTTTAAGAGGATGTCACACCGCTCGTAATATTACCGTAAAAAACCGTTTCGGGCGGGATAACTTTTCTCGCGCTATATTTATAACCGTAGAAAAATTGCACAACACATAAATATAAAGAACTTTAGCCGTTCCATACTGTTTACCTAAATGTACGACGAAAGTTAATCGTTTTTAAACTTTCGGTTTTTTTTTATAGTGTGTGGGGGAGTCATTTAATCAAATAAAAAATACTGTTCACAAGTATAAAATAGATAGACGATCTAGAATATCTACCCGCAGGCCGTCACGCGAAGACGTGACATCGGGAATATCTTTTGTTCTGTTAAATACGTTTAAGTTTTTTTCTCGTGATTATTATTAGAAACTTGCACTGTGATTCCTCTGTTTTACATTATTTTTTAGTCTAGAAATAAATAAGACGTCCTAGAATAATGGAGAATGGTGTAGTCTTTGTTATAGGTAATTTAATTTACATCTGAAAGCAACGATAAAGCATTGCTAACGAAAATACGATTTTGAACATAGTTCAGTTGATAGTGATGCTTTGCCAACAATATACATGTCATATTATGACAAAATCATAAGATAGGCATTATATATTTTCTTTAATAATATTTGTTTAATGTTGTACTCATTTTTACGGTTTTTCCCGTTTGCTGGGAAAACTCTTGATGAAATCAAAAAATGAGCTTCCTATAGTACCTTCAGTCAGATTTTCTTTCAGATAAAGAACCTCCTGTTAAATTTACTATCCATGCTGTTCAATTCTTACAATTTTACCACACAGTATCTTTTGAATAAATATTACGTACAAAACTCGCCAGATTAAAATGTCTATAATAATAGCTAAAAAGTGGCTTAAATTTTTTTAAATTTCACCACGTTTAGAAAAGGCAAACATAAATTTTCTGTCTAAATTTAAAGTCTCTACGAATATTTTTAATTGAATTACAACAAACATTGAAAAATAATAAAAGCATTATTTTCATAAATTTCCCGTGTTTCTTAGGTTTTCTCCTAATTTTTCCCAGATATTTTGAAAACCGCTTGAAAAATCAAAAAAATGACCTCTCAAAAGTACCATCTGGACAACACACCTTTTCAGAAATGGTGCCGCCCGTATATATCTGAGGTAGAATTTTTGTATACAGTACAAAAAAAATAATAAAGACCTTAGTAAAACTAATACATTCCTGGCTATACTCAGAATCTAAAATTTTTGTTTTAAAATAAATCGTTTTTACAAAATCCAAAATAGCTATTTAATAAGTGTAGTTTTTGAAACAAATCCTATATTTGTGTATAATATGAAATAGAGAAATCATAGGGCTCTAGAAATTTTTTACAAGGAAAAAAATTAATATTAAACAGAACAAGTTATTTCAGGTACCTCTTCTTTGCGTATACTCCGTATGTTTTGAAATTTCATTAGCTCTTCTGTGGTATTGAATATAACAAATGGGGAAGAACCTAACTTTATTTAGAACTTTTTAATATCAATAATAACGTGCTGGCAGACCACAGTTTTAATAACTCAATTTGATATATGTTAAGTTACAGTATTAGGTCCGTTGCCATGAGTGGAGATAAGGGCACAATGCCGCCTCCCCTCCTATACCTATTATTTGTCCCACCCTTAACATTTTTATCGGAAGACGTCCATTTTCGAATTAATCGTTACATTAGAAAAGAGAATATAATAGTATAGAATCATAATACCGTTTGTTTTTCTAATGCCTCCCTTATAAATTGGTTTGCTCCTACCTTCTGAAGAACTGATCTGGCTACGGGCCTGTACAATATGCTTATTTGTTTTAAAAATACAACATGAATTATCGTTTAATTTCGTATTGTGCTTGAAATTCGGAGATAGGTAGATAGCTAGGTAGAAAATTTGTTCACAAACACTCAGATACATTCACACACACACACACACAAAGAACATTTCATTGTAAAACCAATAAATTCCCCATCACTGCACTCAGAATCTAAAAATATATAATCGGTTACTAAAACATAACGTATACAATTGTTGTTATTACATTGTTATTACATCATATGTTAAACAGTCTCGTATACAATGTAAAAATTTTACGCGTGAAAAAAAGTTTTGACGCATACGCGTCTCCGTGTTTCCGAGCACTTTAATTTTTTCGCGTGATTTCCGTCTCCCATCATAAAAAACTTTCTCCGCACCACACACACAAAAAAAAAAAAACCGTTTTACCGGGCTAAGATCATTATTATATTATTATTATTATGGATGTACAGTATCATATGATTTTTATACATGAACAACATATATTCATATTTTTGTTTTTGTAAATGACGTGGTAAATAAAAAAAAAAATACACAAACAAAAGGAAGGGTAAGAATTTATTATTATTAATATTTTTATAGGCAACACCGCAGTCCCAAAACGGTCCTCGCCAAAACTCTTGCATAACACGTGAATCGCTCGGATCGACAATCCATAACGACAACTCGATAAAAACGTTTCCTTCGATGAAAACATTGACATTTTTGCGCTCAATGTTTTGTTCTGCCACTAAGAGTACGAGTTACGGAGCACAAAAATTAGTATCGATCGAAAATTTTACGATATCCGGTCAAAATCTTTATTGATTTTTAGATTTTGAGGGTATTTTTTTTTACTGTCCGTAAACAACTTTTCTCCTAGAATCTCGCTCTAATTGAAACATGACAAGAGGCCTTTTTTTTTGCATTTTAGCTCTATACAGTCGATACTTTAGAAAGAACATTTTTTCGAATTTTTCGTTAATATTCGAGATAACGAGGAAAAACTGTTTCTTTAGGTTAAAAAAGATTAAAAATTGTATCATTCTCGTTGGCAACCGTTTTTATTAATTTTTCGTGATTATTAAGTTTTTATATTATTCTAATATATTTTTAAATAATCGTCGCTGCCGCGAAAACGCACATATTATTGAAAAAGCAATATTATTAACCAAGCTCAGCTCAGAATCGTGTTACGTTAGCAATCGATTAATCGTATAATTCGAATAATTAATTGATTGCATTGTTTGCAATTAGATTTTAAATGAATTATATAACGGTGAATTCGGATAAGGAAGGTATGGGTTATATAAAGTTAAAAAAGAATGTTTTGTAGTTTATGGTTTGTTTTTGGTGGACGTTTATTACAAGAATAACAATAAAATAACAACAATAAAGAATACCAGAACAATGAACAATAATAGTAGAAACCCGATGATTAAAATGCGACCTGAGCCCGAGCGTGTCTCTGATCACGGTTGCGGTGGCGGTGGCTTTGGGTCCTCTAACGCCTAAAACTGGTGGTACTCGGTATGGTTGACACGACGGTTCGCGTACTCGGTTTACCGTGATTGTTTTGTGACGTACTCACGCGTCGAACGTGGAACTGGAATCGACGGCAACGAGCCGGCATGGGGTCGCACACCGGTGCTCGGACGTTACATGATATTATACACAGCGTATAAGGGGATTGCATTATGGACCGAGATGAGGAAAGAAAAAGGGCGGGCGATTAATACCCATATGCACACGTGTCAATCGATATAAATTAAATTCCCTTCTTTATCTTATGCCTACCCAACTCCTGACCCACAATAGCGGTCTGCCCGTGGTGCGATGTTTATCCGTCCGTTTTTGTTTTTGTTTTTTTATCGAAATACTCGTTCTTATTTAATTATCTATCTCGGATCTATAGACAATCGACTCAATGTGATGTAACAACAGACATGCCAGGTTTTTCGAGTTTCTCACAATTTCTCAACTTATAATGGTCCAGAAAAACTTTTTCGATAGAGTCCTATTACGATTCATAATCTGGATTGAAAGTTACAGTCTGGGTTAAACAGATTATTACGTTTCTTTCAATCTGGATTGATTTGGATTTGGTGCTCATCGTTGAGCATATTTCGATACAATAAGTGAACGCAATTTTGAAACACTTATGCCGTTTAGACCAGAAAAAGAATAATTCAAATAAAAATAGAGGGGAAAAAATTACACAAGACAATTAATGTTAACAATACTTAGGTCATTTCTCCCCGAGACCAAAGATTTATTCACGCGACAAATTGACCGATATACCAATATACCGATGTAGATTAAATTCAAATATTTTTGTCATATTAATATTAATTACCACGTGTAATTCATGGCGTAAACAAATAACTCACGGGTTAATCCGTGACTAAATCAATCAAACGGATTGAATTAACAACGTTTATCACTCTTGATGGTGACATACGACCACTAAGCTTTAGATTTACTCATCAAATAGATTTAATATTTGTTAATAAAATGTATCAGTGTTACCGGTCTCGATGTGTTCGATTTTCCAACGTCAAGCAGTTTTCTATACAAGAAGCCAGTATAATATGCAAATCTACCAATTCAGTGGCCTAAGTGGATCGCATAGAAAAAGGTGTGCGGCCGGTGTAATTTATCGTACCTTCCTAAATATGCGGAGAACGAAAAAATCAAAATGTAGGCTGGGAAATTTAAACAGATGTTGTTGTTGCTGTTTTTTTGTTTTATGCGCAAATAGTAAAATTCAGTTAAGCGAATCATTCAGAGGTGAAAGCTTGTATATTTTATCGAAATCGACTGGATCGGAAAATCTAAATCGAATTTGAACGCTGCTCTGAAATATCGAATGTTCATAATGCATATTAGTTTTGAACTAATATTGTATTATCGCAACGATTAAGTGCGATTTCAATATTCGACTTGTAAAACCATCGCGAACCCCGAACGAAAATATAGTATTCGGCAACCTTATTTTTTTCGACTTTTCATCAAAGGGTGACCTTTTTTAATTTTATTATTTTTTTTTTTTTTTTAACTTTTTGTTTCCACTCTCTAAAACAGGGTATTAAAAAAGTAGAACGACCGAAAAAAAGGGTCATCGAATTATTGGTAACGAGGGTCAAAAAAAAAAAGAAAAAAAGAAGCTTCGCAGGGTTGTAATAATTATTATAGCTGTAAAAAAATCGTCCAAACCCTGAAAAACCAAATTCATGGTGTTTTCAGTGCACGTAAAATTTAACTACATTTCGACGGATTTGAAGACGTGTTATCGGGTGTGTTTTTATGTAGGAAAAAATGTTCACATCGTATCAATTAGAATACAAATGAGTAAAAAAAAAAAAAAAACCAGAAAACGATTTTGAGTGGAGTTAAGGTTAATATGTCTTGATATACATTAAAACATCATATATTTTACACGAAAATCAAAAATTTTTAATCCATACACAAATCGTAAAATAACACTAAATAGATCGTGATTTTTACTAAAATTAGATCTCTCAACATATACAAAAAAAAAAAAAATAAAAAAATAACCATTGAGCAGTTTAACTCCGATTTTAGAGTAGAATCTGTTCACTTTTTTTATACTGGTATTATATAAAAATAATCTTTGCAAATATAGTATATGATACTAATACATCACGCCAACGGTAGGAGTGTGGGTCAAATGTTGAAACCCCCAAAAGGAATACTAATGATATGCATACACACAATTTCATTCCACTATCCGTAGGGGTAAAGCTAAAATAACACCATATTCCCGTAACAACATGGTTAAGTTCATATTAAAATTCAACGGTTAGATTCCAGGCTACCTAACGTACATTTTTAGGCTACCTAACTTTATCATTTCGATCCTTCGACAAAACAAGTGTAACTCCCAGATTTGAGCATGTATAGTTTAGAGAGAGTCCCTACACAAATGTCCAAAAGTACCGGGGAAAAAATAAATAATATATAAATAGAATATATTATATATAGAATACAGTACAGTGCAGTAGTTCCTATTTTCGGGAAAAATTCGACAAAAACCGCGATTGTGTTTTTAATTTATTCTAGTGTCATAAAAATACTTAATGATGAGCCTTGTTTTAAATTTTCGAGTATATTTTACGAATAAAAAAAAAAATTGATTCATTTTCAACCAAATGAAACTGAAAAAACCTTAATAATTTTAAATTGTTAACGCAAGAATATTTTTTAAATTGTACGTTACGTCTGGAAAAGGCTAATATAAGTATTCGGTGACAATTAAAGATTTCGAAAACTATTTCAAACTAAATTACACACACACACACACACACACACACACACACAAAATCGAAAATAACAAAACCAGTTACTGGGTAAATACTGCCGTATTCAAACGTGGTTTCTCGATTTTTCTATTTGTTGAGAAAGCTACAAGGGAAATCAAAAAACGACCTTCTAAGTTTTTTTTTTTTTTTGCATCAACCAGACTAAATAATTTACTAACAAAACTACCCCTCAAAGGTTTTGGTAGAACTATTGTTTACAGACAGAAAAAAGAGCACATATTATTAAAATTATTATTATTATTATTATTATTATATAATAGTGAAACCATATTATTCTTCTACTACGCTCAGAATTTACAAAAAAAAAAAGAAAAAAATTAACGACAAAGTATATTGTTGTAGAACCAATTCGTTTCAGTAATAACACGTAAAACTTTGTAATTAATTGAATGTAATTTTTTTCTCGGCCTACTGTTTATTATAAAGCTACCGACCAAATATTCATCAACCAGTACCTACGATTAACAAACGGTCATGTAACGGTATTAATAATTTATTTTGCATATATTAAATACAAGCTGTGACGACAAATTATTGTAAAATGATATTCAATATATGTTAATTTATAGATAGGTATACGTGTAATTGCTAACAAATACAACGCACAGATATACTGTACTAAACTAGGTATTTATCAAAAATCGATACATGATATGTACCTATAACTATTTTAAAACCTAATGACACCAGGTATTAACACAAATATCATTTTAATATAGTTTTAATGCAATCTTAAAAACTTTGAATATTGATACATCAACAAATTACCATAATTATTACGTTAAAATAACCATAAATAGTTATTTAAATATGATTTTTTTATTAAAAAAAAAAAAAAAAAAACATTCTTCTTCTTTTCCTTCACATTTATCCCAATTATTTGGGATCGACCATACTCATCTTAAACTCACATTTAACCCAACCTTTGTCCACATTATCGGTTAGGGTAGGTTAGTTCTCATATTATTTTCAACTGCATGCATTGCAACCACTTCCTCTTATTTTCTTTCATCATATGTTTATTTTCATTACTATTCTTACTGCTTTTGATTCCTTTCTCTACAAGATACACCAAACCATCGACGTCTATTTTCCCTCATTTTTCCATCATCGAACCCACTCCTATGATTACTCTAAAGTACTCTTATTCTGTCTTTCCTCGTTATTCCACTTATCTACCTAAGTGTTCTCATTGTCACTACATTCATTCTTTGTTATATTTTTATGCCTACTACCCAATATCCCAAATTACACAACATTTTCAGTATAGTCAGTATCACTACACTTTTGTAGAACTACTTTAAATTATCATTTGAATTATCGTGTTCATGAAACACCTGGGAGAGGTGTGGTAGAACACATTTTTTTTTGTTATTCTCCTAGTACCTTCCTCTGAGAAGAAGTTTATTTAATTTAAAATTCAGTTTTAAACAATTTAAAATTTTTATATCATTAATTTTGTATAGTTATTTTTTAATAATTAAAAGTACTATTTATATTTGTGCTATAATAATGTTTTTAACACGGTCATATTTTAATAAAATATTAATTAATTAACCATTTTAGATACCTAATATAGATTAACCATATTAGAATTGATTTTAAATATTTAAAACTAAATGTTCACTACACACACTTCACACGTTTTTTTAGCAAAATATTGTATAAAAAAAAAAAAAAACCATCTTAGTAAAACCATTACATTTTTCGCTACACACTGAAGAGTCTGAAAATATAACATTGATTTAATTAGCTCAATTAATGTTATTTTCTAAATATTTAAAAATAAACTTAAAATAACGTTAATATTATATTTAACTTTGCAAAATGTTTGTTGGCTGGGAAAGTGCCATTTGTTCACTAATTGTAAAATATTAGAAGGACTTGGATGTATTTTGCGATCGTATTTTAAACTCGTAATTGTCGAATCGAAACCAACATTTTGACTCGTTTTTTTCACTTTTTTTTTCTTCTTTTTTACTTGTAGTTCATTTAAATATTTAAACTAACGAGATGCTTTTAATTACTGAATGATGAGACGTCGAATCTGGACTAAAGAAACTTGCAACTTATAATGCAAAAAGAACTATATATAGATACAGAACTAATAATACTTGTCCGAAGAAAATCCTCTTCGTCTCCCGCATAATGAAAATACAAATTAAACTTTTACTTTTTTAAACGTATAACTGGAATAATTTATTTAATGTCGAACAGAATAGATTTTTTTTTTTTTGTTAGACTTATTATTAAAATTAAAGTTGTACAAACATAACGAAATATAACGCATTCGAAAATTACATTAAGTAGTCTTTTTCGATCGCGTTTAACTTTTTTATTTCAGATTAAAACGATTGAAATTTAATGCAGCGTGCAATATAATAACTACGCATTAAATAAAATCGATTAGTACTTGTAAGACTGCTAATATAACATAATATAATTAGAGTTATTAATATAATATAATTAATATAATTAAATATGTATATGTATTAGTGTGGTCCAAAAAAACGAAATTTAATATGACTAACCTCCCATTTTTTTAAATTGATATGAAAAAATGATTTTGTGTAAAATATGGACTCAATAATTCTTCCCCTTCCCGTGCCGCTATAGGGTTGAAATATGGCACAAAGAGGTTGATTTTCAGTTCTTTTTCGATTATTTTTGATAATTTGATTTTAGTTTCGGATCTGTTTTGTTGTATCTTGTTTATAAATAAATAAATACAAATTTATGTATCCAAAATATTTCGAAATATTTGAAAATTATATAAATAATTAATACAAATAATTTATTAATAAAAAAAAATTAAAAATAACCCTCTTGTGTTCAACTCCATTGAGGAACGGGGAGAGGATGAGTTCTCGGGTCCACATTTTCACAAAATAATTTTTCTATATCAATTAAATAATGGGGGTGGGGCTTCTCATTTTTAATTTCTCAAGAAAATGTCAATTTTATATAGATTTGGACCACCCTATTTTGTATAGGTACCTAATTTGTTTTTCGCTCTAAAATATAAAATTCGTTGTGTGTAAGAGTACTCGGGGTACCGTCACGAAAACATAATAATAATGTGTGTAATGTGCTAAACACATTGTGTATTACATATGCAATATAATGTGAACGTGTGCGCGTTCGAGCCAACAATACGAACATTGACAATTTTCGATATTAACCCTCTAGAATAAATTCACCGATTTACATATATACATTTTATTATATTATATAGTAGCTGCACACACTTGACGGAATCAATACTTTCACGAAAGGAATACTCGCAGATTGCAAACACAGTTTTATTATAATTTCGTCCAAACGGTATAAACTGAAAAAAAAAAAAAATAGATACCTAATAACCACAACAGATTTCGTTCGGGGCAGATATTTTGCACACTTGGAAATAATATTATATTTTATAATAGATGTTGACGGGTAGGTATACAGAGTGATTATTTTATTACGATCCGACGACTTTCTCGGAGGACTTTAAGTCACTTTTTTCTGTACATTTTTTTTTCCGATCATTATGCATGGATCGGTTAAGCTGCGTTCAAAATATGTTCTCTTACTATCTATTGTACCATAAATGTGAGTGTTAATATTTGGTTTCCCAACGATAAACATCTGTTTTCTATGCAGATTCGAAAAAAATAATATTTTTCTAAAAAATTTGATATATTGATAGGATTTGCCGTTTATGGAGTATAATAGTTTAGAATTTTAGACCGGAGACCTAAGGGACGGTTAAATATTGACAACAATATAGTGGCGGTAATGGATCACAATGAAGTAATCGCCCCGTTGACGAGATATTCCAATTAGTTTGGGTAGAGGGAGAGCAGTGGTGCTCTATTAACATGCCGTGCACCGCGCTACCCCAGAAATGATGCTTCACTACCATCACATTATATCTCTAAAACAATTAACATATGCATGGAATATCTCATAACAGGTTGACAGAAATCAAAAATGTCAACACCAAAATTTATTTTGAACAATACGCCATCTATTAATGGGATTTTTAGTATAGTTTTCCATACGAAAATCAAAAGAAGGCAGTGGTCAGTTGACATGTTTTTAGTCACCAAAAATAAAGCCGACGAAAAATAATATAAATGTATTTCTGAAATATTCTATAAAACAAATTACGAAAAAAAGGTTATACTTTTCTGTATACGTAATTATTTTAAAATAAAGCGTAACTGTTATAATCTTTCCAAAACGTATCCTACAGTCAAGTGTGGATTATGGTCATAGTCTTAGGGAAGGGTGTGGTCTTTTGTATTCTTGGCGGGGCAATTTTATCAAGAGCATTTTTTTTTTTTTTTTTTTAATGCAGTCATCGTATTATACAGGTACGTACGTATATATTATATAGTCATATTTGGATATAAGGTATTTGTAGTTCTAAAAACTACAAAAAAGTACTTAGGAGGTAAATTCATATCAATTTCGATAAATTTTTCAAATAAAGAGCAAGAAACCTTTTTTTTAAAATTTGAAATGGAAAAAAATGGAGCATTTTTTATACTTAATCGAAAGCGTGTTTTAAAATAAAAAAACTACAAATTATTATTAAGCTAAAAGTTTTTTCGCCACACTTAGAATCTAAAAAAGAAAAATCGAAAAATACACGTAACACAGTATCACAATCTCTTTAGCCTTATCCTCCACTTGATCCAAATGTCCGATTTGTCCGAAACCATCACAAAAAATCATTATGAGATTTATGTATATTTCGTATAACGACCAATAAATTATTAATGTACAATTTTCGACAGGGGGAAAAAACATGTTTTTCATCGTATTATTTGTACGTATGTGACTTTTTAACAAGCGCTTTATTTATTTTAATTAGTCCTCGGAGTACCTACCTACCACCTACTGTTTGTTTCGTTTTGTCTTAATTGACTGGTTTTACTGTCGCAGCATCAGTATCGTAGTAATTATGAATACGTCATTTTAAACGTCCCATTAATATCTAATCCGAATCCGAGTTAGTAACATTGCACGTAGTTATCCGAGGATTACAATTATATCGTTACAAAGTGCTACGCGTTTTCATCGGTCGGGGGCATTAACCCCGCGCTGTTTGACAAAATGTGAAAAAAATGAACAAACAAAACAACACAGTTTAACCGTTGTGCGTTTCGAATAATAGATATTTATTTAAAAAAAAAAAAAAAAAAAATTCCGATTGACGAATGGTCAAATCATACAATATTTTATTATTTATTTGCACACAAAACAAAACGAATTTTATTAGGCCATTGCGAACACTCGGTATATAGGTTATGTCCTCGTGACAAGTTATTTTAGGCGTGTATTATAGTCCAGCGAATTTTTCCATTATTTGAAATCCTATTAAAATTCGTATAAAATATTCAAATCGTTCTTTTGATCGCGTCGATGAAATTCGGTATATATTGTACGAATGTTATACATTTTGAAGCGTACATAATATTATGATAAGTAAACCGTGCATTTGAAAAACGACTCTGATCAGTGCTTGTGTAGCTCACCACATATTATTATTATTATTTCGATCGAAGAAAAGAAGATTGCATAGTGCACTTTTTTTTTTTTTTTTTTTTTATATATTTCTGTTTTTCGGTAATATATGTAGATGGGATTTAGTCTGTATTAAAAAAAAAAGAAATTTATTTAATAAATAATCTCAATGAAGTTTGTTGAATCGTCCGAATTACTCAGCTGTATTGGGAATTAATGACACAATGTTAACAAGCCCATGTATACACTTTGATTTTCTATTGTACCTAATTTAAAATTATATCTTCTTCTCCCTATCTTCGTCCCAATTATTCGGATTCAGCCACCTTTATCCTAAACGTCCACTCTCCCGCATCGTCAAAATATTTTATCGTAATAATTAAATCTCAACAATTATTCAATTTATACACTTATCTATATTGAGATTTTTTTTTTTTTATAAAGAAGCTGTTAAATGTAAATACAAAATGCTTTAATATTAGAGATATTCATACAATGTATAAAATATTTTATATTTTTGAATACTTTTACAGATTTTTTTTTTTTCTTTAATGTGGGAATTGAATTTCGTATAACTCCACTGGTATGCGTATTATTTAAAATAGTATAAACACACTATAGAGTCTTAAAGTTCACGGTTCAACATTTTTGCTAGTTGATTGAGCGAAAAATGCAAAGTAATGTAGTTAAAATGTATATTATACTTAAAACTCTAAAGGTTAATCGTATATACTACTATATATGATATAATACAAATACAAATACGAACGGTATACGGCATACGCAATTAGTAAAAGTATATTTAAAAAAAAAAAAAAAAAATCAGACATAATGTTATAACTTATAAATAAAGAGTGAAATCGATATTACGAGTATCACGAGTATATTTAGATATTTATCGATTTATACCGTAATATGTGACGATTTATTTTTTTTCCAGATTTGTTTATGATAAGGAGGAGGGGAGGGGTTATTGAAAATTATAATTCTTTAATTTTATTAAATGAAACTGTAGTAGTTTCAACATTACTCAGGATCTAATAGACCTATAATCAAAATTATTCACCAAAGACGAAAAGACGTTTTCAAATAGGTATTTCTCGATATGTCCCATATACAGCTGTGTATTAATATGAACAAATAATAAAACGATAATTATTTTAAAGTTTGATTATGCTCGATTAGTATACCTGGGAAATAGATATCCGAAAATACCCATAGTAAATGTTGTCGTCTTTAATCCGGCGAAATAACTTTTTCTTTTAGGTCTGTTAGATACCGAATACTATAGCAATAACGAAATCACTTTTTCGACATATTGCCCGTTAGAAAATCGGAGACGACAAATGTAACCTTGATCCCCCCTCCCGTCACAAAATTTTTTATACAACATAATTTTATAATTTTGTTAATTTGTTAGTTATTTTGAACTATTCGTACAATAATATCGACATTTCTAAATATATCTGGAAAACGTATGCGAATATTAAAAAAAACCGAAAATAATATTTAATAATATTGTTCGGATAAAAACTTTCAAAAGAGGATTTAATGAAATTATCATCGGTAGATTTTTTCCAGTGACATAGTATTTAGTAAAGTCGTATATTAAATCGTTATTCACTATAACGGCTATGTATGAAAAAAAAAAAATAACGATAATTTTTGACTTTAATATTATTAATTCCATAATCCGATTTATATACTTGAAACAGAAAAGATACCAGAAAGAAATGTTTCAAGGACGAGTCGTATCATATAGCCAATGTATTTTTTTTTTTATACTTTCCTAGTGTAGAACGAAATATCATCTCTACAGTGAAGAAATTATATCACAAAACTATTATCTTTTTGTATGGTAAATTTGATTTAGACGGTTTATACGAGTTTCTAAGTATCGCGCGGGAGAAGTTTCCACGGCTATTCCCGTCTGTTATATGCAAACGATTGAAAATGTCTAAAGCAATTGATATTGTGTTTGCACCAGTTCGTAAACGTTGATGATAATGTGAAATGTTACGTTATAGCAAGCGGACATTTTTGTGCATACAGATATTTGAATTTACGAGCCAAACTTTGGACTTTGTATACATCGAATTCCGATCCTACATTATAATATGTACGTGTTAATACGACCGACGGCGTTCACTCTATTGTAAACTCGGGAAATTACTGTTATCCGGACGAATCAACGAAAAGCGAATGGTTATAATATTTCGTGTTAGTATCATTGCTGATAACGATTGACATATGACAACCTTAACACCGACGTGCTTTTTAAATGTCGTTTCGGAAATAAATATTTTCGGAAAACGCAACGGCTGTGTAAAGTATATTATATATTAATATAAACGGACAATTGAATATCACTGCTGCAGATGGCCGCTGAAATATTGTGAATATATTCAAGTGAGGGGAAAAAAACGAGGGGTAAAAAATGCGAACGAGCGTTTAAATTTAACTTTTGAGCGTCGGCCGTCAACATAATACCGTGCGACAACGATCGCGAAAAAACGAGACGAGTGGCCGCAACACTATTCGTTGTCGTGTTTCATTTTTTTTAGTTTTCATTTTCTCTTTCAATAGAATATAATACCTACATTTATTTTTTGTTGTATTAAACCGTGTCCAGCCGTATCGCGAAGGCGGCAGATCGTAACATTATTTCGGGAGGGGCTATTCAAAGACTGCCGGCACCCACGTGATTTAATAGCTGACAAAAACAGGAAGCCGCCACACGTACGCACGCGTACTACAACCCTACCGCTCCCGATATACTTAACGCTTAGAGTGGTCCCCTAAAAACAGAACCATAATGCGAGATTAAAAAACCATTAAGTCTAAAGTAATTAAGGTGAAAACTATTAAAATAGTAAACATTTTTTTTTTTCTTATACGCCAACTCGTTTTCAATGTTCGTACTGAATTTACCTTTCGCGTGTGACGAAGAGGGTACGAGTATAATTTTAATTTTACTGCAAGATATGATTTTACGTTTTCTCTCAGAAAACAATTTTTCATGATACTTCAAGAGATGCGAATTTCTGCTTTATTTTATTTGAAACGTTTTTTAAAATGTCTATTGATAAACCTTTTCTTTTTTTTGGTCTTCTATAATTTCTACAAAATAAATATTTTCGATGTAATGGTGATCAATACATCGTGCTCAGAATTGTTTTTTTTTTTTTTGTATAATAATTTATAGTTGGTTTCGTTGTTACATAAATTAAATTTCATAATGTGTTATTTTTACGTTCCCGGATTCTCGACTTCCCTCCTACAATAGTGGTCTATCAACCACGCGAAGTATATATCGGTCATATGTTTGTACACAATATAATAATATTATAATTTGAATCAAAAATTAATATTTCAAACTCTAATGTTGTCTATATTATAGTCATTGATGATTTTGGTATAATTAATTTCTAACAGAACAAATTAAATGTTATCAGTTCAATAACCTTATCAATAACCTTTAATCGTGCTACATTGACGTTCCCAACTTACTATAATTAAACGAAAATTATTCAAAATTTAATCGATATAATTGTATTCATGCGATTCGTATTTTTGATTGGCGATATTTTTTTTTGATTATTTGTCTTATTATTGACTATGCGGGGCCATGAAGTTAGACAGTTTTTCAGACAACCTCTAAAAAAAAAAAAAAAACGTCAGTTTTACAAAACGTCTATTCAACTACAGTCGATAATAAAAACACGTTTACGATGAGTATACATATTATTATATTTAATTTAGTCGCAACGGCATTTGGAGTCACGGTCTTTCCTGATTCTCGATCTTCTAGTATAATATTTAGTAAGTATCTATCAAAATGTTACAGCACGCGGAGCTTAAGTGCACTGCGAGAAACAAATAGTGCAATTTAATCTTGTTTTTAGTATACACGATGTTTTTGAAAAGAATTTAACTCCGCGTTTTTATATTATCAGTGTATATTATACATGGACACTGGAGGTACATTACAGGTAGGTATAAGTGATATAAGCGTATTATAGGTATGAAAATATCGATGATATTATAGTACATAATTATTTCTTGCAGACTGCCGATTTTAAATATATTGAGATTTTCAATTTTATCCTCGAAAACACGAAACCACGTATTTTCAAATAAATATTACATAATGTAAACAATACTCTCGATAGTGTTATACTAGTAACAAAAACAAAAAATATTGAAATGTTCACGTTATCTCATTTGCTTATAATTGTAATAATAAAGTACAAAACAAATTACGAAATTACAAACAAATAATTACGGTTAAGAAAAAAAAAAGTGATAATTTTAATTACAACACTATTAAATTATTACGAAAATTTCTTCGTCTGTATGTGCCATATAGATTTCGTTGTTTCAACAATAGTGTCCGTTGATTTTTGTGCAATTCAGTTACCTATATTTTTAAATATTATGTTTAAGATTGGTAAACGTGATCCCGGTTTTCGATCGACATCGGATGATGTCCAGAATTTCGAAATACTTCGAAATCAATGTTTAAAGAAGGGAGTACTTTTTGAAGATCCAGCTTTCAAAACAGTTAATTCTTTGGCATACGGTAGCAAAACACCGAAGAATAGGTTGGAATGGCGAAGACCAGGCGTGAGTGTAGTTTATCGATTTAATTTAATACATAAATAAAAACGTGTTGTATATTAAATCCGAGTCTTATTTTCAGGAACTCACAAAAAATCCTAAGTTTTTTATAGATGGAGTGTCACGATTCGACATCAACCAAGGAGATTTGGGTAAATCAATGGAAAATTACCTATTATTTTTGAATTAATGATACTATTTAATAATTACGCACGAAGTAGATTATAGTTAACAATAAATACAATTTAATATTATTTTCAATTCATATAGGTGACTGTTGGTTATTAGCTGTTATGGATACTTTAACTATGAACGAAAAACTTTTTTATCACGTAGTCCCTAACAATCAAGGATTCGATGAAAAATACGCTGGTATATTTCACTTTAGGTAAACGGATTTTTCATTTTTGTTTTAAAAAAATGAAATTTTTTTTCGGTTCCGAGCGGAACGAGGAGATTATTAGTTTTACTACAACGTGTGTTAATTTTTTATTCTACCTGTTAACAACCAAACAATCTGTTTCACCAAAAATCTTGCTTCAATCAGAAAACTACAAGACAATTTTATTAGTAACATTTTAGACTTAAATGATGCATTGAGCAAGTCATTTTTTGTTTTTCCAAGCAGTTTTAAATCAGGCACGTAGCCAGAATTTTTCGTTTTTTTTTTGGGCGGGTAGGGGGGTTTCAAGCATACAATTGATCACCGAATATCAATAATTTTACCAATAATCAGATATATTTGAAAGTAATCTTAAATTTCAGGGGAGGGGGTTCAGACACAATGAACCCTCTGGCTACGTGCCTGGTTTTTATAATAATCGGAATAAGCGTATAGGAAAAGCTGACACTTTTCATTTTTTCATAGTTCACTTATATTATCCATTTTTATACATGATACAGTTTTTAAAATATTTTGATTTTTTTTAAAAATTATTTATAGATATTTAACATTTTTACATTTTTTATTTGGTTTTATGTGGATACAAAAGTTTTGGCCGAGCAGAAATGTTTGAAAATTTCATTCGAGGTTCATAAGTTGAATTTGATGGTAGTAAAATAAAGTTGAGCGTCATGAAGTCATTATTTTATATGCAATTTATGATTAAATTTTGACAAAGACGTATAATACGTCATTTTAAAACATGATTAACCGAAATTCGCTTAGAATCGTATTTTGATATCAATGATTTATCTACAGATATAAATTAAATAAATGCACGTATTCTTTCTTCTCAATTTCCCATCTATAACAGTGGCATACCCATCAGCATTATTAGCTTTTGTTTTCAAATGTTTCAGATTTTGGTATTGCGGCAAATGGGTAAACGTTTTTATAGACGATCGTTTGCCAACTAATAAAAAAAACGAATTAATATATATTAAATCATCAACTAAAAATGAGTTTTGGAGTGCTCTTTTAGAGAAAGCCTATGCCAAGTAAGCATACTGTATTTATTGTACTGTATGTATTTATTTATTTCATTAAACTTTAACTTATTTCATTAGTCTTGGTAAGTATATACTCAATAATACACGTAATATAATTTATTGTCGACCAATATAATTAATGACTAATTAATGAGTAAATTATTACCATTAGTACCATTATCTTTGATGTCATATTTAATGATATTTAATATTTTACTATTTACACAGTGATTTATTTAATCTAAACCACTTATTATTTCGCAAAATATTGATTTTTTTTAAAAACAAGTAGCTTTAAAATGTTATTTTATCTGTCTCACATTTACTACGCTACCATTATTTTTTTATCATCTTTTTTTTTTGGAAGTGAAATGACTAACTAATTTTGATTTTCAAATAGCCAACTATATTAAAAATTCCATAAATAGATGGAGTACTATATAAATAAAAAAATAAATACATTTTCGTCTAGAGTTTGTTGATTTTCGTCAACCTGTTGATGAGATATTTCACACTTATGTTTGTTGTTTTAGTGGTAGAAAGTAAAGGAAGTGAAGCAAAATGTCCGTGGTTGCGCAATTTACGGTATTTTAATAACGTTCCACTAATCTCCTTCTACCAAAAATTTAAAAGTCGACGGTCGACAGAAAAAGGTTGACGGGAATCAAAAACCATTTAAACTCAAAAAATTCATTTTAAGTAATGCACCACTTATTTATGAAATTTTAAATATAGGTTGCTGTTTGAAAATCAAAGAATATACCTAGTCGTTTCACCACCAATGGTGACAAAAATAATGACAATGTGACATTTTAGAGCAGTTTATTTTTTTTTTAATTTATCAAAAAAAAAAAATATGTTAAAATAAATTAAAAAATTGTAATATAACGAGTGTTTTCCGTAAAATATGTATTCTGTAGATTAAATAAATATGTTTTATATATATATATATATATTTTTTTTTTTTTGTATCGTTCGCTAGATTCAAAGGATCATACGAAGCGTTAGACGGAGGCTTCATTCATCTGGCTATGATGGACTTCACTGGTGGTGTACCAGAAATGTTCGAGTTAAATGTCCCACCACACGATTTGTTTGAGAGAATGCTTAAAGCTTTTCAGCAAAAATCTCTGTTATGTGGTGCAATTTCTAAGGTAATATTAAAAAACAAAGCAATTCGAAATTAGATAATTAATTAAAACTAATACTCGTGTTATTTAAACTACGAGGAAGTTCTTAATAAATGATTCTGCAAAAGTAATATTTATGTTTACTTCCCTGAAGTCTGAAAATTTGTTTGTATTATATTAATCGGACAGTCTTATAATAATAGTTATATCTATACATAATTTTTATTCGTAAAACGTAAATTTTCAAATGCAAAATTTATTATATTTAAAGGCTGATTCAACCACTGAGGAAAATAAAAACAAACAAGGCTTAATTTGCAAACATGCATATAGTATTACCAGTGTAATATGCGTCAACAAACGTATATCTACAAACACTACTTCTAAAATATCTCTGATTAGAATTCGAAATCCATGGGGTGATCAAACAGAATGGAATGGACCATGGAGCGACAAGTAAGCATACACATTTTTTATATTATACTAGCATGTCCCGTATGTTACTGCCCGTCAGTATTGAACGAAAAAGAAATTAAAACAATAAAAACGTGTTTTCATGTAACTCCCTGTTTTCATCACCTATCACTGCTGTTAAACATTTTTGTCCGTAAATTTGAAAAAAAAATTAATCTTCTTTTATTTTATTTTTATCTTTTAGGAGTTGAATTCAGCGATAGTGCCTCGAGTCCCCTTCTTTGTGGCTATGCCGCGAGGTATAGCATAGACCCCCTCCCTGCTCCTAGTCTTAAGGAATACGTGTGTAGAATTTAGTGTTGATTGTTTGAGTAGTTTTCAAGTCTATATATAGATTATTCACGAACAAACAAAGATTTAATTTTATAGTTATACCTTAAAGGCATATGTATGCCTCATATATATATATTATGAGTGAATAATTATTATTTATTATTTAACAGATCTTCTGAATGGGCATTAATATCAGATTCGGAAAAGAAGTCATTAGGTTTGAAAACTGATGCTGATGGTGAGTTTTGGATGTGGTACAATGACTTTGTCAAATACTTCTCTCGTTTGTGTATTTGCCATTTGGATTTGAACGGTTTGAACAACGAACAACTCGGTGACGAGTCTAATACGGGACGGAAAATTTATGCGTTTGAAGGTGAATGGGTTCGAGGTACAACCGCTGGAGGATCTCGTGAATTTTTAAGTACACGTTTGGAATTTTGTGTTGTCCGCATAATAAACTCTAATAAATATAATTATTCAATATTTAGCTACGTTTGCCAATAACCCACAGTACTATTTTAAATTAGAAGATGCCGACGACGATGATGACGAACACAAATGTTCCGTTATTATAGATTTAACGCAAAAGAATTCACGTACTCAGCAGAAGACTAAAGACTTATTAATTGGATTTTCTGTGTATCAGGTAACTTAGACAAAATAAACATTTAGTATTATATTGTTTGTGTAAAGTATTAAATTATATATTTATATTATATTATATTCTAATACTTAGGTTATCAACACAGACTCTTCGCAAAAACGATTGGACACTAATTTTTTTAAGAATACAGCCCCTATGGTGACAGAAAGTGGAAAAAGACAAAATATATCTAGAAGATTACGTTTATTTCCTGGGACATATTGTATTGTGCCGGCAACGTCCAATCCGAATGAACAGGGTGAATTTTTACTCAGGGTCTTCTCAGAACATAAAAAAAGCGTGATGTAAGAGATAAGTTATACCATATTTGCAATAATAAGATATTTTTAATATTTATTAATGTTTAAATGGCGTATGATTTATTTTAGAGAAGACAGTCTGTCTAAGAAAATTGACGAAAATGTAGGATTGGATACAGTTGATGTAAAGGTAAAACTAATATAATTTAGTATATTATAATAATTAATTATAATTCAATGGGTTGCATTTGTTTTAGCTTAAAGGACAAAATGCCGAGTTGAACAAAATTGATGATGCTAGGCGAAAAAACAAAGGTTCCTTCTTTGCTGGTTTGGTAAAATGCATAAGTAAATAGTAAAAAATGTATATTTTCATACATAACATCAATCAAAAATTGAATCATCTCCTTTTGGTTGAACTTTGTTCAAACAATCATATGCCGCAACCTGCAGAGACCAGAACGATTCTCTATATAAAATTAGATGTCAATCGGATTCGAGATTTCCTCCATCAAAGGAATACATAACAAATTACGTTTTTGTTATACATACTCTTGAATTAAATTTAGGAATTTTAATAAAACTCATAAAAAATGGCAATTGTATTATTGTAGTTCGTAATGAACATTAAAAATGAATGTGTCATTTTTCGAGATATTCGTTTTTCGGGGATATCCTTGCCCTTTACGAAATAATTTGACGGTCTATAATAAATATTTATCTATATTTACTATTTAGCTGTTTATCAATCGTCGGTCGTTCTTATTATTATTATATTTTTTTTTTTTTATCGATTATTCTGATGGACAATTAATCGGAACAGAGAATGATCACGAGTTATTTTTCTATTGATCCTACGGTACTACAAACTATAACGGTAAAAAAATAAACAAAGGAAAACCAACAGAAAAAAGACAGACAGACAGACAGACAGATTATATATAAATTTCGATACGTGAAATTGACAAGGTGTTGCATTGTGCGTTGTGTCAATTACCAATGACACTAATACCGAATGACAGTAAAGGTATCCCGTATCTGTTATTTAATATTTCTGGTTACTAATGCAATATACTAATGGGCAATGAGAGTTATTAAAATGTCCATGGTTTTATATCTACTTACAGAATATTAATTCCGATTCATCGATTGATCGAAATAATCGATCAGCCTTAAGTATACTTTTACTATAATATCTGTCACTGAAACAATATTTGCCGACAATTTTCTTTATTATTAACGTAAGGATTCATTCAAAAATAATAGCTTTTTTTTTACGAGGTTATTTATTATTTTTTTTTAAATATTATAATATAATCAGATTTTTGATTCGGTGTACTGTATGACTTTTACAACCTAATGATAACTTCGGTTGCATCGTTTCCTTATTAAATAAATATATAAATCTTTGGATATTTTTTAATAAATTAAAACATTATTACGAGCTATTGAGTTAAATTACTACAGTAGTATGAATATTTTATTTCTAGAAATTATATTAAATAAAATGTTTTATACTTTAATCTTAACATTATTTACAATGGTTAAAAAAAAAAAAAAACACCAAATTTTACATAGATATTTTGCGTTTTGTACGGTTCATGTGCTTAATGGTTACCACTAAACGATTTTATGTAACTAAATACAATTTAAACCTTATTAAAAAAAAAAAAAAATGTTAGATACTATAATATTTTATTTTACAGTAATAAAAACAAATTGATGTTGCGTAGTAAAAACCTTCGACGGGATAGGAGTATTTTTACTAGGTACCTACATAAACGGGTAAAAATAATTCGGTATTCTATAATTATATCAATATTGTAGTATTCACAATGAGTCACTCCAAATATGGAAATAATAATAATATTTTTTTGTCTCGGAAACAAAAGTTCATTTGTGCTTATTTATAAAACGAAAGTTTTCTTTTTACAGTAAAAAAAAAAAAGAAAAGAAAGAAAGTAGTATAATAATCAAACTTTTAATAATATTCCGTATAGATATTTCTATTATCGTAAAATACTGCAAACTGCAAATAACATGTGCTCGCGTACCCACAAAACAAGTTATACTCGAATTTTTATATTCTGTGATTGCAACTTTAATTGTATAATAAATTTCACAATTTTTCTGGACTTCCTACGACCGTTATAACCAAAATACCTATCACGTACAATCCTTATCATTATTATTTTCCATTTATGACAATAATCCATCATGTGTTCATCGATAAATTGACAGCGGCCTGGCATAAACGTAATATGCAACTTTCAGTTATTTAATTTTAAGTATTGATTTTTAAAAACATTTTCGAAATGTTTGGTTTGAAAATCTGGTCTCCCGCCATCAGCTATTATTGTAGCTTTACCAAAATTTTAAGAGTGAATTACTTGCACCGACGGAATTCTACAAGGTAAATATCAAATATTTAAAGTATCGATACACAGTTAAAAATATTATTTTTTGCATTATTGCATAGACTATAATTATTTAATTCTGATCACTGATGAGTAATTTATTTTTCAAATTAAAAATATAATTTAATGATTGTAAAAAATAAATATTATATAATATTTTTTTTAAAAAAATCAACACTAGTTTAATATTAATCATAAATACCGGGCTGCGTGTATAAGTTTTAATTTATAATATTTTATTTGTATTTCCCATATTGTCTGTTCTAATAATTGTTATATAGTTCCAATTTAAAAAGAAAAATTAATAAAAATACTATTTTACCTAGCTATTATTAAAATGTACAGTAATTTCTATCGAGATCTATTTAATTATGTCCAACATTCTAGTGAACTTATTTGCATAGCTACAAATTAAGTTACACGATGTTTTGTTATTCTCGTTATAGTATAATATGTTTGGCGTGAGTGGTTAAAGTGGATGGTAAGTCGTTCTTTAGGTTATCTATAACGGTCATGAGAAGTCCATACAGATTCTGATACTTATTAAATAAATACAAATAATTGACAAACTAAACGATTATACTAAAAATATTTTTACAGACACCGCTCAGTATCTTGGTTATAATGATTCGTAGGTAAGCAAAATAATTTTTAAATTATCAAATAAATAATAAACCAGATAGTTATGGTATTGGAACACGTTTTTTTTAATGTCAACAATTTGGTTTCTTAATTTATTTTATAGTCCGAGTAGTGTTTACTTGAAAAAATAGTTTTTACAGTCGAATTTCGGATAGTAACGTACCCTGTTAATACCGAGTTACAAAGATATTCGAGATTAGATGCGTAAGCATGACGTCAATTTAACAGTACCTATGCCCAACTTGCATTCGTCGTCTATGTTGTCAATCAAACGGGGTATATAGCAAACATTTGTTTCTATGCTTCCATTAGTACTCTGTGGGGCTCGATAATCGTATAAACTTGTTTTTGGTGCCAAAATAAATTCAAGATATTGTAATAACCATCTCCAGAACATTTGGTTCTGTTGAATTTTTCTTTTGTTAATCCTTTTTTGTTTAAATCTTAAGATTGTCTTTTTAACAATTTTTTTGATAAATACTAATATTATAAAATCAACAAATGAAGATTTCAAAAAAAAAAAAAGAAAAACCTTTTTTATTTATTTGTTAGTTATTCTTTTTGCCAAAATCAAATTTATACCAGCAATAAAGCCTGATCACTGTTGGAAGTAGTGGCGTATTTACGGTGATGAAAGGGGAGAAACTGTCCCCTAATCTTTTTTTCAAAATCATTATTATTTTTTTGCTATTAGGATAAATAATTATAATTTGTTTATTTAACATAATAATAATTGTAAAAGATGGATTTTTTATTGTCAAGTTTCTGCAATTGAATTATCACCTTTTAAGAACTTTTTAAGTGTTATTTGACCATTTATTCAATATTCAAATATTTATATAAGGCTTCTCTCTCCAAACCTTTAAACTTTGGATAATCTACTGATTGTAAGTATAAGAAAATATTTTTTCACCATTTTGCTAGACCAAAAGGGACGGTAAATGTACGTAGTAAAATATTCTCTTAAGACATTATAAGTTTTGTAACCTATTTGTTTTAATTTATACCGGAGATACCGTTTCATGAGCATGATTATATATTTTGAAAGTTGCCGTGTAATGGCGTTTACATATTTTATTCCATTTAAAAATAATAAACTGCTCCAGTCTTAAACGTTATAAAAATAGTAGGCATTAGTGTTATACACGAAATGTATTTTTGGATCTCAGAATATTATACGTTTTACAGGCCAAACTCATATTAGGATAATCCAGTTTATCCTGAAATTAAAATTCGTAATTCAGGACGAATTAGTATAACCTAGGCTAAAGTGATTGAAGCTGTCGATATTACCACATTATTATTAGGATATGGGAGACATTTATGTAAGGAAACTATTTATTTTATGAATAATCATAATATGGTAGCATACGGTTTAATAGTAAGTTAGTAAGTTAGTGGAGTAGTGGAACGAACTAGTTATAGTATAACCTAGGCTTAACTGATTGAGACTGTCAATATTATTAAATCATAATAAAAAATAATGGATACAGTTTTAGTATACACTATAATGACCGATGTAGCAGATATGGTGAAATAACAATATAACACAGAAGATAGAAATACGCAAAAATAATAACTGTGATTAATGCGGTACAACGTATTGCATTACTATAATATATAGAAATAATATTGCAGTATAAGTATTATTGCAGATGTTTTCGTCCGTCTGTCAGTGTCATCAATTTGGTACCATTATGTAGGTTACATTTTCTGATTAAGACATGATTTAAATAATTAATAATATTAAAAATGTCTTATATTTCAATGCTACATACTAATACCGACAATCTCAAACAGTTTGTAGGTTATGCTAGTTCGTCCTAAAATGTGAATTTTAATTTCAGGTAAACTAGTTTGACCTGTGACATACATATATATATATATTGTATGTTATTTATCTATGGTAACTGTTTTAGGAGATTCAGCCAATTATTGAAGTACCTACGAGTATCTATATGTTGTAATTCGCATACTGTTTAGATCAGATTTATTTCTTTCCGCAACAGCATATAAAAATAATTGCAAATCGAATGCGATTTATTTATTTCAAAAAGTGCTCGTTCAGTTCAATAACACATTTTTCATGGCGCACATTTGCCTGGTAAAAAAAAAAAAAAAAAAAACCAAAGATGACCTTTTGAAATTCCCGTCAGAAATCCAATTACCATCACTTAATATCACTTCATTCCGTCGGATAATATCGTATTGTTCGGTTAGGATCAAAATGCTGTCAGTTTTCACTGTTTAAAACTTTTATATTTTAATATAATATAAACGAACGTATTAATATTTACTTTTTATATACACAACATTATACAATATTCGCGTTTTTAGCGACTAACGTTCAATAGAAAAAAAATCCCGGCTGATGTGCGAATACACAAAAACTAATATAAATTATAAATGAAACGTGTTGTATTGTTCGGAAATATCTATACAATATTTATATTGATTAACTGTAATTAATATTATTTCATATAACTATAGGAAAATCATATTGTACAATATCCTAAAAAAAAAAAAAACCCCTATTAATATTGTAACACCCAGCCATTTGTATAATAAATTTAAATTACTGGACTTTTTTTTTCGCAATTTGATTACTAGTTAATTTGATCCGGGAAATGACGAAACAAACGAGAGGATGGAGGATTAGAAAAAGAAAATAAAAAAATCAAACCGTCACTATTTCAGAGACCGAATATCGTAGAAAGAAAAAACAACGAAGAAAAGATTGAAACGGGCTCGGCGTGCTTAAGAAGGACACGCCAATTCACCAGGTACAGGATGATATTATCCCTGGAAAGTGACCGCTTTAAAGAGAATGGAATCGTGGTGCGGAAATATTATATTATGCATCATGAATTCAATTTAACTGATAACGTCGTAAATTTATTATAAAATAAATGTTAATGATATAAATTATTTTTACCACTATGCTATACCACAGTTATTATAGAGAACATTAGTATTGAGACAAAGTATTTTCCCCGTGAATTAAAACACACGGGGTTAATGGAAATCACGTTGCTTTATTGTGATGCTAATTATAGGTAGTAAAATATTGTCAAAATGGGGGAAGGGGAGAAAATTAAACCCTAAGCCCTGCAACAGACTTCCAGAAGTGGTTGGTACAGACTGGATCAAGCATTAAGGA